ACCGGAGAGAAGAACGCGAAGGCACACTCCTCGTAGTCACTCTCCTCGTCGTCTCCGACCATCGTTGCCGCTCCGGCCAGGGCTGTCTTGCCCTGCTTTCCCGGCGCATCATAGGTCAGCCTATTAGGGGGTTGAACTCTCCTCTTCCCCCTTCCTTCCTCCTCAGCTGCAGGGACTTGAAGGCCTTGGCGTTGCTGCGGTGTGGCTCGAATCCGTGGAGCACTCGTAGTACGGGAAGGGAGTGACGGTGCACGCTCGCTCACTTGCTGCACCTCCTCCTCTTCTTCCTCTGCATCCTTGGCCTCCTCTCCCCCATTCACAAGGGAGGATTGCCTTGTGGTTGTGCTGCCGCTGCTCAGCTCCAAAGGCAGCTCCACATGCTCCAAACCGGAACTCTTCACCTCCCCAAACCGCACGCCTATCTTCGCCTCATTCTCCGCCTTCCAATCCTTGTACATGAAGTTCTCCATGAACTTGCAGTCCCTGCTCACCAAGAACTTCTTGGTGAATGGGTCCCAAAGAAGCCATCCCTTGCTGTTTTGAGCCATGCCCAAGTGCACGGCCCACACCGCCTTGGCACCAAGCTTGTTGTGCCGAAGATGCTTAGGCACGAGTGCCATGCACATGCACCCGAACACCCGAAGCATATCCACCTTTGGCTTCCTTCCTAGCCACTCCACATAGGGCACCCATTTGTCTGCTCCCACATGAGTCAAGGCTCTGTTCTTGGCCACACACGCGCTCCGCACCGCATCAGGCCAGAAATAGTCGGGTAGCCCGGCTTCAATGAGCAACCCGCGTGCCGCCTCCGTGATTGTGCGGTTCGCTCGCTCGGCGATGCCGTTCATTGCAGGGGAGTATGGCATGGTGAGGGAGTGCCGAATACCATTCTTCTTCAGCCACAACCCAAACTCCTTGCTCAGGAACTCTCCCCCTCGATCGGTGCGGATTGACTTGACTAGACGGTCTTGTTGCCGCTCCACCATCGGGAACCAATCCGTCTTCAACGTTTCAGCCACGTCGCTCTTCTTGGCCAGCACGTACACCCAAGTCATGCGGGTGTAGACGTCGACAATGGTGAGAAAATACTCAGCTCCAGCAGCTCCAAGCTTCAGGGGGCCCACCACGTCCATCACCACCTCATCAAGCGGTGCCTTTGCCGTTGCCTCCGAACTAGGGAACGGAAACCGGGTGAACTTGGCTTGAATGCACGTCGGGCAGCCAAGCACCTCATCGGGCTCCCCCTTCACACGTATGCCAGCAACCATCTCATTCTTCACTAGCTGCTGCAAGATGGGCAGGGCCACATGCCCCATGCGCCGATGCAAGGTGAGCCAATCACACTCCCCCGTAGCCGAAGTTGGATTGGAGAATGCCGCGCTCGCAATAGCGCCCCACATACTCTCTCCGTAGTCCTCCTCCGCTGCTGCCTCTGGGTTCTCCTCACCCTTTTGCTGCTCCTTGGTTGCTGCACCACTCTCCTTAGGTTCACTGAACTTGCTGGTCCCTCCAGGTTTGCTCTTCTTGAGCTCATTCTCCTTAGCGCGACCGTTCGCGCCATCGTCGCTACCGACCGCTCCATCCTTGGTGCTGATGCTTGCTGCCACTTGCCTCTCCTTAGGCATAGGGACCACTGGGATCTGCCACATCTCGTTGTAGACATCCCTGTCCTCATGAAGGTCCCAAAGAATTCGATCGCCAAGCCTTGCGGTGTAGGTCTTGGCTCCCTTCGAGTTCGTGTCCATGCCGGCCTTTGCCAACCACCGCACGGAAATCAGGTTTGCAGCAAGGCTGGGCACCCAAAGCACGTTCTTGAGGCCCACCATCTTCCCATCAGCACCCTTGAACATGGCCTTGCCCATGCCTTTCACCTCTGCTCGCTGGCCCAAAGCCGATGTGACATGCTTCACCGGTGACGGCTCGAGTTCGGTGAGCAAGTCCGGGCGAGGTGTCATGCTATAGGTAGCGCCACTATCAATCACCCAATAGTCCAGGGGGTGTAGGGTCACCTTCCCCACAGCTGCTGGCTCCTCAAAGCCTTCATCCTTCTCTGGACCAGCCGGTACTTGCGTCGACACGAAGTAGAATAGACCCGGGTATCGATCGTCGCTCGGGTCCTTGTCGTTGTCTCCGCTCTTCATGTTTGCAGCTCCGCCACCGCGACCGCCACGGCCTCCACGGCCTCGTCCTCTCCCTCCTCCTGCTCCTCTACCCTCTTGGCCTTGAGCAGGGGTCCAACCATCAGGGAGTTTGTAACAGTCGCGCCACATGTGTCCGCTCTTGTGGCAATAGTGACACTCGCCGTCGAATCGGCCGCGACCGCGTCCGTAGCTCTTGTCGTCGCTGCCGTAACCGCCACTCCTGCGGCCTCCGCCGAAGTTGCTGCCACCAAACCTTCCTCCCCCTCGTCCTCTGCCTCTTCCTCGACCATATCCACGGCCGATGCTCGCTGCCCCAGCGCCATCCGCACTCGCCAACTCACGGCGGCGGAAATCCTCTTGAAGGATAGCTCGCTTCACGTCTTCAAGCGAGAGGCGGGGCAAGTCGCGATTAAGGTTGATGATGAGCGAGGACCATGACTCTGGGAGTAAGGCCAGCAACTTGGTCTTCTTTTGGAGCTCACTGTAGTTCAAATCAGCTCCCTCAAGCTGCGTCAACAAGTCGAAGAATTTCTGCACCCCTTCTTCAACCGCTTCGTCTTCTTCAATTCGTAGTGCCGCCATTTGCCGTTCCAACACCACCGCTACCGCCGCTGTTGCAGGAGCATGTACACCCTTGAGAGCAGCCCATGCCTTTGGTCCTTTCTCTGGTTCACGCTGGAATGGCTTGATGTGACGGATCTGACTGCTCCCCAACGCTTGCCCAAGTAGGAGATAGCCTTGTGCGCTCTTCCGCACCCACGGGCTCTTCTCCGGGTCGTTCTCGGGGCGCTTCTCCGTTCCTTCCATCACCTCCAGCAGGTCATAGTGGTCAAAGATGTTCTCCATCTTGAAGGACCATTCAGCAAAGTTGTCATCGTTGAACTTGTCAAGCCCAAACACCCTAGGCTCATCCCTAGGTGGGCCAAGACTTGGTTGCATGGGCGCCATGGCTGAATCACGGGGTTGGCCTTGAGCTTGAGCTTCTCCACTGCCACCAGCACCTCTGCCACCCCTTTCCTCAGGTCCAGACATTGTCGAAACTGCTCCAAGGGGCTCTGATACCACTTGTTATAGTCACAATAGGCTTGAATGTGCCTAAAACGAAAGATAGAGAGCACAGACGGATTTCTGCACAGCGGCTTCAAACGTTGATAGCGTTCTGCTCACAGCTGCAAATGACTTGATTCAAATTGGATCTAGAGCGTCTTCACGTCGTCTACAATTATCAATTTAGATTGCACGATTTGATAAAGAATTGACAACACAGCGTCGGTTTGAACGAACGGTACTATGGCAGCCACTATAGTCTTAGAACACAAGATAGGAAGAGTTACGAGTTGGGAATGACTCCCAGCTCCTACAAACCCCAAGAGCCGAGTTACAGTGATGTGGAACAGTGCCACACTGTCCCCAACCACGAAGGGTCTCGAAACTACCCTTCACTAGGGCCTACACCAAGTGAAATGTTACACTACACAAAGTAATGTAACTATCTTCAATATCTTGAGGTGTACCCTTTTGGCAAGCTTCGAAATCACTTGAGGCTTGACACCAAGGCTCGGGCTCTTCATCACAAACTCATCCTTGAGTTCTTGATGGGTCTGCTGCACACACCTGCGACATGCCGAACGTTCGACACAGGACAAAATAGAAACCGCGCACGACAAAATAGAAACCGCGCGCGAGACACAAACGACCGCGTAACACGCGTCTAGCGATAACTCGCTATTGACTCGACACACACACTCGACATCATGACTCAACATTCACACACAATTATAAGCATGAAATATATATTATCCCATGCCCTCATACCATTCCATACACACACACATTCACGCACACGGACAACAAGCCGAGTGCAAACCGTAGGGTTGCACCAACAGCAGCTCAGCAACGAGAGCAAACGCAGCAGCAGACTCAAAGGAAGGGTCAGTGACAGTAGTGGCAAGGAGACAAGCGACAGTGGGGCTGGCAGCATGCGCTCGGTCAGACGCATGGTCAGGGACATCAGGAAGAGAGGACTCAGGAGGAGCAGGCAGAGGAACACGTAGTGGAACAGAGTAAGGACGGAGTGCCATAGTGTGCGTGCCGGGGACAGGAGGAGGACGCGAACGAGGAGCGCGACGAGCAGTGCGAACAGGCAAGACAGGACGAGACGCGGGCTCACGACGCTCTGTAAGACCTCCGGACTGCTCAGTGCAAGGAGAGGGAGCAGGCAGTGGGGAGGCTGGCTGTAACGGCGGCTGCGACTGATCAGGCGGTGGACACAGGAAGGGAGAAGGAAGACTAGTAGAACACGGGACACCAAGAACCTGCTGAAGCAGGGGAACGAAGTACGGTTGCGGCCGCACAGTGTCTCCAGCACCTCCAGCTCCAGGGTCAACAGCTCCAGCTCCTGCCGCCCCAGCGCCTCCGGCGCCAGTGCCTCCAACCCCAGCTCCTGCAGCCCTAGCGCCTCCTGCGCCAGGGCCCCCAACTCCAGCTACTCCAGCTCCAGCGCCTACAGCGCCAGCTGCTCCAGGCTCCGTAGGGTCTCCAGCTCCAGCGCACCCAACACCACCAGACCCGACAGCTCCAGGACCTCTGGGACGAGCACCTCCAGGACCAGTAGCCGCAGTACCTCCAGTACCACCAGCTCCAGTAGGAACAGCAGCACCTCCAGCTGCAGTGCCTCCAGCCCCTCCAGCTCCGGGAGCTCCACTCCGACGGTGCGGGCGCCGAACAAGCCACTCACGCATCTGCTGCGAGGACACTTGCGGTGAAGCACAAGCATGACCTCCAGACGAAGCAGCACCCCGAGGCTCAGCACCCCCAGAATCCGCACCCTCCGACTCAGCACCCCCAGGCTCAACACCCTCAGGCTCAGCACCCCCAGGCTCAGCACCCCCAGACCCAGCACCCTCAGACCCCGCACCCCCCGGCTCCGCACCCCTAGACGCAGCACCCCCAGACGCAGCACCTGGAGCAGCACCTGAGACGACAGCTACCGGAACAGGCGCAGTACCAGGGAGAGGGTCTACCTGAGACACACCCGAGGGAGCAGGACCCTGGGGCGGGAGGGGGTCTACCTGAGGTGGACCGGGAGCAAGGAAGAGCGGCGGGGGCGGGGGAGGGGCAGAGTGGTAGGGGAAGAGACTGTAGAAGGGAACCGACTCGTCGAATGTGACGTCCTGAGACGGGAGGACACGGCACGAGGTGGGGTGGTAAAAATGCAAGCCAGGCGCGTCAGGGACAGAGCCAAGGAAGACGCAGGGAATGGCGCGGGCGGAGAGCTTGTCCGCGGACGTATCGCGAACAAAGGCACAAGAACCCCAGACCCGGAACACCGACGCATCGCCAACCTTCCCTGTCCAACGCAGTGTGGGCGAGGTCTCCGGCAAGGAGACACGGGGCCAAAGGTTGAGCTGATGCGCAGCGTACCGGACCACAAACGGCCACAGAAAATGGGGAGCGGCCGCATGGATCATGGAGGTACGAGCGACCTCCATGGCTAAGCCAATGCGGCGCTCAGCAATCCCATTTTGCTGACGGGAGTCCGGAAGCGTGAACGATTGGGTGATGCCCTCCCCACGACAAAATTCCCGCAAGAGGTCGGAGGAGAACTCACCACCTCTGTCAGAGTGCAGACGCAGGACAGGGAGGTCCTGACCGAACCGCTCGCGTAGCTGGAGACAGACTGTGCGGATCCAAGGGATCAAGGCACCAGAGACCTCACCTTTGCTGCGCAAGGGGAAGACTGTGGTGTACCGCGTATAGTCGTCAACAACCAGCAGAAAGTAGCGCTCGCGGCCCTGTCCACTAACGCGGGCTGGGCCCCACACGTCCATGTGGAGGGTATGCAGGGGAGCTGTCGTCGGGGGAAACGAGGAGGAGTGAGGAGCGGCGCGTTGTCGTCCCTCAACGCAAGGAAGACAGGGCGGGGCAGGCAAGGGCGGTAAGGGAGGCAGAGACCTGGGGTGACCAGAGACAAGGAGACGGGAGTGCATGCCAAGAAGGCGTGGCAGGGAGGGGTGACCCAGGCGGTGGTGCCAAACAAGAGTCTGGTGCGATAGGAGGCGACACGAGCAAGAGGCGGCTACCTGACCTGACGCGGACACCTGAGCAGACGCAGCGACCTGAGGAGGCTCGGTAGCCAGCGTCTACAGACTCGACCCTGGCCGACGAGTGAACGTAGCCAGGTGATGCCCCGTCCGTGTGCACGTGCAGATCGACACACGCTGACCCCCAGGAGTGGTGGTAGTGACCATCGCATCCTGAAGGGCAGCGGTACTCACCAAGTTCGTAGAGAACGAGGGGAGGTGAAGACCTGACAGTGAGCCGGACGGAACCGCCGGACACGGGAGGACAGTGGAGGAACGGGCAACGACCGGGCCCCCAGAGGGGTCAGCCAGACTGACCGGGACAGGTGCAGGGAGAGGAGTGAGAGTGGTGCTGTCACGAAAGAAATAGCGCGAGGCGCCGGAGTCCAACGTGAAGGTGTGCAAGGCCTCAGCAGGCAGTACCAGGGGGAGTACCAGACGCACTAGCACCTAGAGCAGCAGCCGCTATACCTGGGTCATGTGGCACACACCGGTAACAGCCACCCTCAGCACTAAAAGACAAAGCATACATGGCAGAGTTATTAGCATCATAGTCTAGGTCAAAGATAGCAACTCCAGACTGAAGCAACTGCGCCCAGCGAGGGCGCTCGACGTCGTCACCAAACTCAGCACGCCAGGCGTCGTACGAGCAAAGCAGCGGCGCTCAGTGTGAAACCTCCCGCACGGACACCCGTTCGAATGACATATGGGCAGGTCTCACTTCACTCACCCGTCCCACGCTGAACCAACCACTCACGGAGCTGCTGGGGCATCTGGGTCTCGCACCGACGCTGCTGCTGCTGGCCCCGACCACCACCAGGGCCTCCACGCCGAGGTCCAGACCTACCACCACCGGTCCCACCGCCTCCACTGCCGCCACTCCCTCCGCTGCCTCCACCGCCGCCACCAGAGCCTCTACTGCCGCAACTAGTCCCACCGCCGCCACCACCTCCACTGCCTCCTCCTCCTCTACCGCTGCCCCCACTACCGCTCCCACTGCCACCTCCACCACCACCGCTGCCTCCTCCACTACCCCGGCCACCCTTGCCCTTGCTGTTGCGGCGCTTTGCACTAGTCGAAGCAGCACCAACGTCCTCAGGAACAGAGACGTCTGCAACAGCAACAGAGGCGAAGGAGGGGGAAAGGGGGGAGGGGGAGCACCCCTCAAAGAAGGGCGAGCGCGGAGTGCCACGAGGAGCACCTACAGCAACTGCACTAGTCTCAGCTGCGAGTAGATGCCGCTCGAGGAGGTCAACAGTGAGGGAGGTGGGGTCGAGGGTGAGGAAGTGGTCCCTGACAGAGCGAAGGGAGTCAGGGAGGCGAGTGACTATGAAGTCAAGGGTGATGAACATGGGGGGCTGGTTCGTGGGAAGGAACTCAGCAGGGATGGTAGCGCAGTAGCGAGCGTCGCTAGTGCGCAGGTGGGTAACCAGGTCCGCTACTGTGGCAAAAGCCGACAGCTCAGGGAACAGGTAGGGCAGTAGCAATCTGCCTAGAGCGGCAGTGGCAGGGGAGGAGTAGCGAGCAACGACAGCGTCGTACAGGGCCTGTGCTGTCCTGTGCTCTCCAAAGTTTGCACATTCGGTCACGGGCAGGTGGTTGCGAATGGCCAAGCGGGCAGTAGCGTCACGAGACAGCCACTGGGAACGAGTCGAACCGTCAGCTGTGGCGGGAGGGGCTGGAGCGGCACCGGACACGTGGTCAAACAGTGAGACACTGTCCTTTAAATCGCTCAGTAGGTACAGTTGCAGATCGTCGTGCCACGTGTCAAATGCAACAGGTCTGCCCTCCGGGTCGAATGCGAGAACTCTAAGCGAAGCCATAGTGGCGCAGGATTCAGGAGCAACAGTAGCAGCAGGAGCAGCGGTAGCTGTAGCTAAGGGGCCAAGGGGCAGGGCCGAGGGGCCTAGGGGCCGAGGGGCCAAACAAGAGGGCCGAGGGGCCGAGGGGCCTAGGGGGGCCGAGAGGCCTAGGGGGCCGAGGGGCCAAACAAGAGGGCCGAGGGGCCGAGGGGCCTAGGGGGCCGAGGGGCCAAACAAGAGGGTCGAGGGGCCGAGGGGCCTAGGGGGGCGAGGGGCCAAACACGAGGGCCGAGGGGCCGAGCGGCCAAACAAGAGGGCCGATGGGCCGAGGGGCCTAGGGGGCCGAAGGGCCTAGGTGGCCAAGGGGCCTAGTGGGCCGAGGGGCCTAGTGGGCCGAGGGGCCGAGGCTAGGGGCCGAGGCTAGGGGCCGAGGGGCCGAGGGGCCGACGGGGCCGAGTGGCCTAGGGGGGCGAGGGGCCAAACAAGAGGGCCGAGGGGCCTAGGGGGCGCCGAGGGGCCAAACAAGAGGGTCGAGGGGCCGAGGGGCCTAGGGGGCCGAAGGGCCTAGGTGGCCAAGGGGCCTAGTGGGCCGAGGGGCCAGACAAGAGGGCCGAGGGGCCAAACAAGAGGGCCGGGCGCAGGCTAGGTACGGGGCTGGGCGCGGGCTAGGTACGGGGCCGAGCGCTGGGCAGGTACGGGGCCGGGCGCTGGGCGCTGAACTAGGGCCGGGCACGGGGCTAGGTACGGGGCCGGGCGATGGGCGAGGGACGAGGCCGGGCGCGGGCGTCGACGGGCCGCGGGCTAGGTAAGGGGCCGAGCGCGGGCTAGGTACTGGGCCAGGCGCTGGGCTAGGGACGAGGCCGGGCGCGGGTGTCGACGGGCCGTGGGCTAGGTATGGGGCCGGGCGCGGCTAGGTACGGGGCCGGGCGTTGGGCTAGGAACGGGGCCGGGCGCTGGGCAGGTACGGGGCCGGGCACTGGGCGCTGAACTGGGGCCGGGCGCGGGCTAGGTACGGGGCCGGGCGCGGGCTAGGTACGGGGCCGGGCGCGGGCTAGGTACGGGGCCGGGCGCGGGCGAGGTACGGGGCCGGGCGCTGGGCTAGGAACGGGGCCGGGCGCGGGCTAGGTACGGGGCCGGGCGTTGGGCTAGGTACGGGCCGATCGAGGGCTAAGTACGGGCCTAGCGCGGGCGTGAGACGGGGCCGGGCGCGGGCTAGGTACGGGCCGGTCGCGGGCTAGGTACGGGCGGGTCGCGGGCTAGGTACGGGTCGGGCGCTGGCGTGAGACGGGGCCGGGCGCGGGCTAGGTACGGGCCAGTCGCGGGCTAGGTACGGGCCGGGCGCGGGCGAGAGACGGGCCGGGCGCGGGGCTAGGAACGAGCCGATCGCGGGCTAGGTACGGGCCGATCGCGGGCTAGGTACGGGCCAGGCGCGGGCAAGAGACGGGGCCGGGCACGGGCTAGGTACGGGCCGGTCACGGGCGAGGTACAGGCCGGGCGCGGGGCTAGGGGCGATGGGCCTAGGGGGGTACTCGCAGCGTAGCAGGTGGTGGGCCCAAGTAACTTGCTCTGATTCCATGTGAAAGTAACAAACGAGAATGAATGAACTAGCAAACGGTTGGGTACAAGTACTAACCCTAATTGGGTTGTACCCCTTATGGGCTACCCCACTACAGCCTACACAAATGTATAAGCTATAATGTTCTGACAAATCCGTCACTGTACCCTCCTTATTCGTCCGAGCCCGATCGATAGCGTGAATCGGTACTGTGACTCGGTGAGGGTCGGTGAAGTTGGGCGAGCAGGCAGTCTCGTCAGTAGTTGGCCCAACTTCTACTGACTGCTGGCGTTTCCCGGCCTCTGAGACTCTCGCCCCTGCTTTGTTCCGCGGCGCCTCAGCTCCTCTGGACATTCACTCTTGTGATGGCCCGGCCTATTGCAAGCAAAGCAGCGCCCTTTAAACGGTGCGGCAGCTGCATTGGTCGCAATGGCGTGTACGGTGGCGTGCTCGATCGGTCCCCGAGGACGTTGTCCGTAGTAGGACCCCGGTCTCGGTCGTCGTAGGATGTCAATTTTCTCGGCGAGCGCGAGAATCTCGTTGAAGTTCGAGAGTCCGCGAAGCATAATTTTGTGCGAGATGTCTGGCTTTAGCCCTCCGACGTAACGGTCCAACCGCTCCGCTTCGTGCATATAGCCGACTTGCTCGCATAATGCGAGAAATCCGCTCGTATAGTCGTGAACCGATCCGAGCTGCCGCCAAGTGCGCAGTTTCTGGCGTGCTGAAATCGAAGTCACGATCGGTTCGAAACGCGCCCGAAGCCCTGCGCACCACGCATCCCACGTGCTGTATTGGGCTGTCTCGCAGAATGAACTCCAGGTGACGGCTGGGCCCGTGGGCCCGTCTTCTTGCGACGGTGGCTCGTAGGCGTGTGACGACGTCACGATGACTCGCCACTAGTCCATGGCAGGGCCCCTCAGCAGCGAAACAGCGTAGCGAATCTTCGCTGCGTCCGACTCGACGTAGTTCGCGTAGAAGAATACGTTCATCGTGAAGACCCACGACTGAACCGTCGGACCCCCACGTTGGCTTGGGTCGAAACAAGGCGGACGCTGCGGCTTGAGTGGCATTGGCGCCGTGATGGCGTACTCGCCACTTGTCGCTGCAAATTCCACGTGCGGACGGGCTTTGTGGGGCTCCCGTGGGCTTGGTGTGACTCTGTTTCGCTCCATGTTAGGCATTGAGTGAGCGGCGCCCTCACTGGCTACGCCTCAGCGCTGTCCCACGCTGTCGTTCTGTGTCGGTGTGCCGGAGGAGATAACAATCGGCTCCTCCGAGTGTGTAGGTGCGTTTGTTGGTGCTGGTGCATTCACTGTCGATTGTTGGCGAGCGGAGTCGCGTTCCGCCGTGAGTGTGGCGATTTCAAGTGCCGATTCTTCGAGTTGGCGCATGATCCGGTCTAGTTGCTCCTGTGTCAGTGTCGCAACATTAAGTTCTGCCATGGCGGGGGTGTCGGGCAAGCTCAGCGAGAGCCTCTGTCGTGGCCGTGCGTGCTTACGAGAGAGCACTAAGAGCGGCGGTGCTTGGTCGCTGAGAGACTCTACCCCCCCAAAAAAATGAGATAGTGGGGAAGCGAAGGTGTGGGTGCAGTCCGAGAGAAGATCGTAGGCTCTGGTAACCAAGTGTTACGAGTGCAATTGAGTGAGCGAGCGAGGATTGCACTATCGAGACAAGAATACAATGAGCGAAAGATTGAGCGAAGAATATATAGCGAAGCTACGGTGGTAACGGTAACGTGGGAAAAACCGAACCGTGAGGTTGGGTCGCATCGTGTACAGTGGCGGAAATAGTGTCGAGGCGAATGTCGCGAGTGGTAACGGAATATTGTGAGGTGCTTTGGCGCGAACAGTGGTGTACGCGCTGAGCAGGGACGCGAAGTAAGGAAAATGAAATTTCCTTACACCACCCAAGAATGCAAGTCACATTTAGCATAAGCTTTATTGTCAAACATATATGCTTAGTTATATCTAGGTTTAGTTTATGTGTTTACAGTTGTCTAGGCTATAGTGGGTTTAGCCTTAGGGGGTACACAATTCTCTCGACATTGTACTTGTACCCCTCCCCCTTTCCTAGTCACTCATTCTCGCGACTATTCTAACATTTATCCCAATTGAAGTTATATCTGGCAACCTCCATGCATGCACACATAATTGAGTGTTCTATGTATAGCATATTATGCAATTATGAAACAGTTCAGCCTTCTATATTGTCAGAATAACAATGCAGGAATGATTGGATTAGCAAGAGTTGGGGAAAAAGTACTAACCCTAGAAGTGTTGTACCCCATAAGGAGTGCCCCACTATAGCCTACCAGTAAGATTGTACTTTGACACACCCCCATAGGTTACGTGGGGGACAACAAAACGGTCACAAGACCAGTCAAGCAAGATAACAGAGCAAGGCAAAGTAAAACTCAGGGTGGATCTCAAGGACACCACACAATCCGAGCACAAGCAAGCGGCCACAAGGCCAGTTCAAATGCAGAGTTATAATAGCAAGGCAGTACACTGATCACAACCTAGCAAGAGTAAACAAGCAGGTATAAAGTGTGAAAACTACAAACGAGAATGAATGAACTAGCAAACAGTTGGGTACAAGTACTAACCCTAATTGGGTTGTACCCCTTATGGGCTACCCCACTACAGCCTACACAAATGTATAAGCTATAATGTTCTGACACACCCCCATAGGCAAAGTGGGGGAGAACAAGTGGTCACAAGACCAGTCAAGAAAAGCAAAGCAAGCTCAGGGTGGATCACAAAGTCACCACACAGTCCGAGCACAAGCAAAGGGCCACAAGGCCAGTTCACATGCAGAGTTATATAAAGAGAACAAACAATACAGTGATCATACCCTAGCAAGTGCAAGCATGCAGGTATATATCTAGATCACAGTACAAGCAGAGTCAAGCAGTAAGCAAGTGAGGCAAAGTAGGCACAAGGCCTAACACAGTAACAAAGCGCTGATGATCACCAGGCGGAAGTGCCTTGGTGAAGACATCAGCAGTGTTGGCCCGAGTGGCCACGTACGTAAGACGAAGCCGGCCACGCTGCTGCAACTCTCAAGCAAGGAAGTATCGCAGAGCGATGTGCTTCGTTTTGTGCTCCAGTCTGTGCTCCTGACACAAGGCAATCATGGCCTTGTTGTCTACGTACAGAACTGGAGGCGAACGAGGCTACTCTCCCAAGTCGGTCAGCAGGTAGGTGAGCCAGCGTAGCTCCTGAGCAGCCATGGCCCCGGCGTAGATCTCAGCCTCACAACTGGAGCTGAGAACCGAAGACGAGCGGGTAGACCGCCAAGAAACAGAGCCGGAACCAAGGCTGAAGGTGTAACCGTGTGACGACCGCTGCGTAGCTGAGTCGTCAACCCAGGAGGCGTCTGCGTGACCAGTGAGGACAACTGGACCCCGTCCTCCAAGCACGAGCCCCATGCCCGACGTACTACACAAGTATCGCAGTACCCTCTT